GAAGGTAATGGGCAAAAATATGACTTAGTGACTATAATAGTAACTTTATTGACCATGATAGTGTTCAACTTTACATCATAGTGACCATGCATATTAACCGTAGTAATATTTTTGTCCATAACTTATATTTTAGTAATATTTAAGGAAAACCCTCTAAAATGAACTGATCTCTGTTGATAATAAGATTATTTTTAGTAAATAAAATGTACATATATAGAAACTACATTAAAAGTTTTATAAAAACACAAGAATTCAAATGTGATAAAAATTGAATACATAGAGAAATTAAATGAAAAGCGATAATTAATTGAGGGTATTTTCCGAAGAAAATTAGATCTTCCCTGAGAATGTCAGATAACCTAAGGCATGGAAGGGTATAATATTCCCCTCTTTATTACATTCCCGTAAATGTAACTTTCACGATTTTTTCTCAAAACCGTGAACGGAACGAAACATGTGTATCTAACATTTTAGGCATCACATTCCGGTATAAATGTGTGATAACCAAAAACCAAAGAGGCCCTAAATGTAACAAGATTCCCACCCAAAGTGCAAGGCATTATTACTTAATTGTGAAGATTAGAATAGAAGTGGCTGGTGTGAGATACTATACTATAGAGACGGCATCTAGCTATTCACAAAAAAAGGATGACACAATGATGAGCGTTCCTAATACTTGTAGAGATTCTATACATATTTTAGCATAATAAATTGAACTATAATCCCAATTTGATAAATAGAGAGTGAAGCTTTATTCCTAATACTTGCAGAGACTCTATGCATATTTTAGCATATTAATCTTTCATCGCAGTTGTCGAGATTCGAACTCGGGAACTAATCTTTGTGACACTTTCTCGCTACGAGTTGAGCTATGTCCACCGGTAAAACGGAAGCATGAGCGCTGAGTTATTAACGCCCACCCATCGGATCGCATCAACTACTCCGTAATTAGCATCTAGCTATTCACTTCACTCATATAATACTCCGTAATAAATAATGAATAGTGGCTGCCGGGTTGAAGGAGATGAGCAAATGGTTCGTTTCCGCTCTGCCGACACAGGCATTAGATGACCCATCTTTTGCCCACCTCTCACTTCATCGCCACCTTTGCACCCCACCCACCATAACTCTTTCATACCCATAGCTTAATTGGTCACTTTCTCAAGGCCCATCCATGGCACAATCTTTTTCCTCTTGCTTTCATATACTCAGTCTTGATGTTCCTTTTTGTGTCCACAGCCAATGTATTTTGGAACACTCATCATATCCCACCATACTATTTGAAGAATTTTTGAATATTTTATACATTTTGAGTAGGAATCCCAGTGATTCTATTATTCTATAGCATTTCATTAGAATTTCTTGTAATGAGTGAGAATTTGATGATAACTGCTTGGGTGGATTTTTATGAACATATATGTGTTAGTAGTGTTGTTTTAGATTATATACGAAATCATAGATATCCACTCTTTAGGAGAACAACAAAATCTAGAATCGAGTATTTCTGTGTTTTCATTTAATGGAGGAATGGAATGAACCTAATTCTTAATTCAAAATACTTGAAATCTTACGAAATCTTTGAAATATTGGAATTCTAAAATTCAAGAAATTCCATATCAAGAACACATTAGACAAGGGAAATTTGCAATATTCATCCCGTAACTTTCGACCGTTATCATTATTAATCCCGTAACTTTAATCACTTGCAAATTTAATCCTCTATCTAATTAATATTTGCGATTTAAGGACTTTTCGCAAGAAAAGTACACTTTCCGACAATAGCATACCGGAAAAGATGTCACCGACGTGGACTTTTCTGCCGTCCTTAAATTACAAAGATTTATTAGTTACATGACCAAATTTGCAAGTGCTTAAAGTTACAGAACCAAAAATGATAACAGGTGAAAGTTATAGGACTAAAAATGCAAATATCCCCATTAGACAATTACCTTTTTTTATAGAAACAATTTACGGAGTAGTTCATTTCATTATTAATGAACTTAGACTATTACTTATACTTTGTATAAGAGTCTAAGGGGGTGTTTGGTTAATGGCCTATCCGTCATTTTTTGGCTGATTTGACCAATATTAGCCTTTTGACTAGATCAATTAGCCAATATGTGTGTTGGGTAAAGTAGTTTTTAAACTTTGCATTTTGTCCCGAACAACCAAAATAGAAAACGTCAATAAACCTAGCGTTTAGGTATTGGCCGACGTTCCGGTTTCCATCCTATTATTCCTACGATACCCTGCGCCCCTCCTTTTCTTTCTCGGTGCTCTCATCTTTTTCGCGCGCAGGCTTCTGGGCAAAGGAAAAACACACACAGGTGAAACTCTGAGCTACGATTTCCAACGGGATCTCGCGAAGTCTTTAATCGAGCGCATATTTGGTTCAAACCAGATAAAAATCCCGAGTTTAAATAAATCACCAGACAAACCACCAAATGCAAGAACAAATAAAAAATAATAATTATTAGAATAATTAAAAATGAACAAAGAGAATAGATAAGAAAAACTTATCGCAGGATCGCCTGTTAAAACGGACTGGCCTTGAAGAAAGATAGCCCCCGTATCCCGATAACTATTCGGACGGGTATGGCTAGCTCGCTCCCAGGATAATCCTACCACGTTTCAGGCGTGTAGCTACCTTGACTGAAACCTTCGACCGTTGCCAAATTTGCCAAGTGATAGAGTAGACTTGAACAATTATGAAAAGTATACTATATATATAAATTATACGTGCTCCTCTTGGAATGGAAAAGCTAATGGAGGAAAAACCCACTCACAACAATATTTGTGTACGTATGATCTAAAGAGAATAGTAGAGAATAGTGATTTTATTTTCTTTCTTTGTACGTGAGAGCACAATCAAAATTTATTGCATGCAGTGGGTGGCCCATGTATATATATACATCTAGAACCAAGGAGGCAGAGGGATCGTGCTAACACTAACGTAAATCAGACATGAATATATGTATTAAAGAGTATAAGATGTGAACGTATAAACTGATCCTATTCTTAAGGATCCATTACTAGCTATTTGACTAACCATGATCAATTTGAACTTTAAATTCAATTTCACAATCTAGTCAGCTATTGTATATTCACATAGGCTGCTTGTTTTTATTATCAAAATAAAAACCGGTTTATTTTTAACAAACCATAGAATTATTGTCCAAACGATTATAGTGTCTCTAAATTCATATGATACTTGAACAATGTTCCTTATCACATAATGATTATTATAAATAATCATATGAGACCGTTTATTCTCTAACATGGAACAAATAAATTCATTGTTTCAATACATCACTTTACAATCTTTACAACTATGGATTCCAATCACAATACAAATCCATATATGTAAATAGTTCTTTGATGTACTAACAGCCTCATCTCCATATTTTAATACAATCATATCCTAGGACACAAAATTGTGACCCTCAAAATTAATATTTATGTCATCATATTTCCAACACATTCATCTCCAAGAAGTTGCATTGAGAGGACTTCTAGAGTTCTTAAAGCGTGGTGGAGAATATTACAAAAAATGCCCATATATTCATTATGTGACCAAAATAAGATAATTTGTTCTCGTTTTGCACTGCATAACTACACAAGGAAAAGCACGATTTGGGATCCGGGTTTTAATATCATTGATCGAGATCCAGATTTCATACCAGATGATATCTTTGGCGACGTTGAGCCTACTTCTGGACAAGGCGTTGAACATATGAGAGTCTGTGAAATGACAGTTATTCGTGATAATATTGCATCTAGTTTGATGGCGAGGAAAAGACGTTCTTAGAGAATAGTATGATTTTTTAAAGATACGTTATCAACGATTAAGTGAATGTTAGTATTTTGATTATGGTGATAGCAATATTTAAATGCATTTTTTACTTGTGTTAGACAATTTTTCTTAATGCATTTTCACTTGTAACTCCGTTTATTTATCAAGCTATCATTTAAATTTATTTATACATCAACAATTGTTTAAAAGAATCGGTACTTGTCTTCTTAAGTTTTTCTTTTTTTAATTCATAAAAATGATTTAAGTATTGATACTAATAACATCAGTAGTGTATGATACGTACATATATAAAAGTGTCTTATATGTATGTATGTATGTATATATATATATATATATATATATATATATATATATATATATATATATATATATAGGTTTTGGTTCAAATAAGAACACGATCTTATGAGAGAAATGAGAACGAATCTAGACCGTTAGATTTGCTTCAAGTGAAATTCAGTGTGCATTAGATGAAACTGTAATGTGCATTAGGTGAAATTGAAATGTGCATCACACAGGATGCAATAGAGTGGCATTATGTGCAGTTGAATTGTGCATTACGTGAAATTGAAATGTGCACTAGCTGAAGCTGAAATGTGCAAGATAAAAAGTCAATGTGATGTTATTTTTTGAACTTTTTTTTCGCACATATCAGTTTCATCTAATGCACACTTGAGTTTAAATTTTTATTTTGCACACTTCAGTTTCACCAAATGCACAATTTGGTTTCACATAATACAATCCAACGGTTCAGATTCGTTCTCATTTTTCTCCTAAGATTTGTTCTTACCGGAACCGCTCCCTATATATATATATATATATATATATATATATATATATATATATAGTACTCTTCCGGTCAGGAATTCATGACCGAAATCGCCGTATGGACGGCGGCATTTGGGACCCTTCCCTTTGGAGTTTTTTGATGCAATTTTTATGGCATGTTTTTCATCAAGTTTAGTTTATCCACAAAACATTTCAGCTAAAAATTGAATTTGGAAGGCCATCAAATGAATTTTGGAAGATAACTGCGCCCAAAATATACATATAAAACGCAGTTAACTTCCAAAAATTATTTGACGGCCTTCCCTATTGAATTTTTAGCTGAACTTTTTTGTGGATAAACTAGACTTGATGTAGAACATTTCATAAACATTTCATCAAAAAATTCCACTGAGAAGAGGCCTAAACGCCTCCGTCCGGACGGAGGATTCCCATCTGGAATTCCAGACATGAAGATTTGTGATTGTGATATATATAGAGAAAAGATCAGGTGAGAAGTGCCGCCGGGATGACCTGTACCCAACCTCCACAGCTCCCCTCACCCAAAATAAGTCTAAAGACATTCAAAATTGATGTAATACCTGCGACAGAGTCCGGGTTAGCTTGAGCATCCGCCTCCGTCATCGCATAGACTCTGGCTTGAGTCCTTCCCTGGTTCACGGATGGCGCGTTACTCGCGCTTGCTCCTCCTTGTCCCCTAGATGCTTGGGAAGCCCCGGCTTGATTCTGTGCCCCGGTAGTAGCACTACTTGGTCCTGAGGCTCTTGTTCCACCCAGTTGTGGGCAATTCATCTTCATGTGCCCGGTGTTCCCACATTGGTAGCATCTGGGAGGGTCACGACATTTTCCCAGGTGGTTCCTCTTGCAATTTCTGCAACGAGTCGTCCCCGAGGCTTGTGATTGCCCGCCCAGGCCTTGGCTTCCCCTAGGTGGTAGTGGGGGTGCCCGAAAGGATCCTCCTCCTCCATGATTCCCCTTTTTGTTAGGACCTTGAGGTCCATGGTTCTCCCACTTTCTCTTCTTCGCCTCTTCGGCGTTTTTTATCTTTCTTTCTTCCCATTCCTTCTCTCCCTTCAACCCTTGTTCAACTACTTGACTGAAGGTCATGTTGGGCAATTGTGTTGCCCTCTCACGTATTTCCAAATCCAGGGCATCCCAGAAATGGTTAACCATTCGGTTCTCATCGCAAACATACTCTGGTATGAACTCGGCTAGCTCCCTGAATTTGTGTTCAAGTTGCCTCACCGTCATTTTGCCACCTTGGGTCAGGAGGGTGTACTCTCTCCTCTTAGCGTTCACCTCAAAATCAGAATAGTATTGAGCAAAGAACTCCTGTCGGAAATTCTCCCAAGTCACGGTTCTGCCATACTTGCCCTTGGCCCCATCCCACCATGTGGACGCCATCCCTTCAAGCAATCTCACCGCCACCCTGAGTTTAAACTCGGGGGTGAGTTGCATATCAAGGGCTGCTTCGTTCAGCGTTTTGATCCATTCCGCGGCGACCGAGATGTCACTCGTTCCATTGAAGGGTTTGCACCCCAAGTCCCTCGCCTCCTTGAGAAATTTTGAGATCCTTATGATTGGACCTCCATCACTCCGGCCCCCATGTGGTTCAATGTGGGCCCTAAAGTCACCATGGCTTCTCCCTCTTGAAGCCCTACCCGAAGTTTGCCCTCCTCGGCGCCTTCGGCGTTCTCTCCTCTCTTCACGCTCCCGCTGGTATTGCTAGAGCAGCGCCTCAATTCTTGCTAGGGAGTCATTCTCCCCATCTTCATCACTCATATCATCATCATCCCCTTCGTAAGGGGTCTCAACCGGCTCGGTCTCCGGCAGGTAAGTCGAGTCCTCATAGGACCAGTAGGTTTCATCCTCGATGTCAACATGGCCGTCGCTTACAGAGTGCGATCGGCCTCCACGGCTCGCCCCTCTAGACACTCTAGAGGCCCCACGGCTCCCCTGCCCGGTCCCCACCGGTGCACGGCCCGTCGGGTTCCTTCTCGTAACCTTGCCACCACCGTCCATTTCTGAAAGAAATTTTGGAAAGAGTCATTAGACTCGTATCAAATGTCAATTGACGGATAGGTACTTAAGACACCACTTGGCTCGAATTGTCGCCATACCAATTGCTAAGGGTACCATCTTAACAATTAGAGGCCTTGCAGCTCAAGTACCAAAAGTTCTATAAGTACAAAACATTTATGCTCATGGTTTTCAAAATCATTTGAAAAAGAGAATTTTTGAGTCTTCATTATGAAGTTTATGGACTAAGGCTCTGATACCAATTAAATTGTCACGCCCCGGACCTATCCGGACACGTCAACAATCCGCCGTACAATATGAATAGTCAACCGCAGTCCAACTCATCCATATTATAGAAGGCGTCTCGAATATCATTCACACATAAGTCATCCATAAACATACATAATAAGTAATTGAATACGCAGCGGAAATCATAGTTTGGATACAAGTGCCACACGGGGCCAACACGAGCACGCAGGCTCCATAATGAAAAACAATATCCATGAGCATGTTTTAAAATGTTTAAAATCAGAATGGAGGAAGCACGAACCAAGTCTTCCCCTCCGAGATGATCGCCCGATCAACAAGCACAGGTAGCAAGCTCTAACCTCAACCTGAAATGGTGGTGGAACGCCCCCCCGAAAGGGGGTCAGTACTCTATACGGCTATAAAGTACTGGTGTGGATGGCATCTAATAGATATACAACAAGTATTTCAAACACAAGACCCTCAAATAGGGTGATAATATAATTCTAGGTCGTAACCCCAAGTTACCCCTTTTTAAAATATACTTACTTTATATATAAAGTCAAGTAGTCGGTCCATGACCCAAAGTTCGTTTTCAAAACATAAACCAAACCCTGTGACCCCTAGTCACGACAATACGTAGGGTTCAACCCTAACACACATGTTTGCATTTCTCGAGTCCAACTCGACTACATTACCATGCATATCAATCACAAGTCAATTACTCCACCAATCTCCAACGTCATGTTCACCCATGCAATTCTAGAGCTCGGCTCAAGTACATCTCCTTACATGGGCTGAACCTAATCCTTATGTCTACCCCATGCAATTCTAGAGCATCGGGCTCAAGTACATCTCCTTGCATTGGCATAGACCCCAATTCCTAAGCACTCACTATGCCTAGAAATGTAATATCAATAATCTATTTCGGGACATCCTTACGGACTGCCTTATCATGATCTTAGCATCACATTACAACAATTTACTCACTTGAACCACAATCAAGTATATCACTTACAATCAAATCCTTAGATTCAATTTCTTAACAATTACAAACAATCATTAACTAGTATTCCAATACTATTAAGATTATTCCCATCAATCATATGTTTCATTTGTAAATCCCTACATATTTAGAAATATGTAGCAGTAACTTAGTCATCCAATGTAATACACAAATAATCATTTATGTATCTACACCATTCACACATGAGTAAAAAATGCCTATTTCACACAATAGTTCATTTAACTCCATTTTTATCAATATGATTTCCAAATCATTTGCAATTTCATTACTCATCTAATATATCAATATTTCATCAATAATCAGTCATTATAATCCATGGAAAACATGATTTAGGCATTTAGGTAATCTCATGCTTAACCTACAAGTTGTAAGCAACTAGATGTCGATCCTCACCTTAAATGAGCTTTAAATTTCTCCTTCTTGATCCAACGGTCAAAGCTTCGGACAAGGTGGATTAAGAACTGATTCCTTGCTTAAAAATAGGTGTTAAACAGCCTCTTCAAGGTGCTTTTTCAACTCCTAGCTGAAGACACGAAAACAGCCCCTAGAACGGGTGTTTTCCGCCGAATTCGCTCCCTAACCTTTCAAGGTTTTGTCTAGGTTAGTATCTAACCTTCCCAACAAATAAGGTACTCTTATAATAACATTTTATACACTTGAAATAGTGTATAATAGTTAAACCAATCGTTCATATTATTTGACAAATGAAAAGAAAGGTTTCTGAAGTTAAAACTCACTTTGGAAAGGAAGATCCGATTCTGCGAGGTTGTGTTTTGTTCGGACGATTTGGAGGCCTTCCACAACTTCGTTTGATGCAAAACAGACCTTCACGGATTCCTCGTCTCGAGAGCTTTCCTTAGAAACCTCACACGTCTTATTTGGACAACTGGAGCTCAATATACGAACCGGACAATACCTCCCTCTCCCTGCTCGAGTTTATGCGCAGCAGTTCACTCAAGCTCGGTTTTTATCTGAAACTATCCCTCTCTTCGCACATAAACCACCCAATACGTCAACTAGACTTCAAGGGCTATCCAGGGACACATTATACACCTCATTTGGCCGAGTAAAACTCCAGATATGGAGGGAGACAAATCACCCCCATGATTTGTGCGGAATTTGACAAGGTGGGTCCCCCCTTTAATTTCCATGTCTAAGTCCAGCCCCCAAAGTCAGATATGGCCGACCCCTAGGATTATTTTACATGTGATGAGAAGATTTTGAGCACACCTCAATGTTCCCCAATTATTTTGGGAGCAAAATATCAACTAATACTTCCAAAGATGGAAAGATGGGTCCTATTGTTCTATCTTTTGTCATAAGATGTCTTTTGTACTCATTCCAATTTATTCAGATCAAGTTAACCTCCTACATCGTATTATACTATTATTGGTCTCTAATATGTGTAGTGTGGTCCCAATAATTTATTTGATGTACAATTACAAAAGAAAACTCAACTCCCATTATTTAGCCTAATAATGCCAAAGATGGGACCATAGGCATTTGTATTCTTCTCAAATCATTCCGTCATTCATTTATGATGTTAATATATATATAAATATATATATCTGGGCTACCAATCGTGTGGGTCACCCTCCAATGGGTCTGGGATGCCATTCTTGAATAATTACTATTTTTAGCAGGTTAGGCGCAAAATAACATTTGGGCTGTCCGACCGCTCTTACATTGTACCGATGGGCTGTATATCTTATTTAAGGATGTTGGGCCCCAATATCAATGATATGGCCCAATTAATTATTTAGAAGCCCGTTACCATTGTATGAGTCCAAATAGAAATATGATAAATCATACGTTCCGTAAAACTTTAATCGTTTTACAATTGTTCGAAAATAGGAGAATTCAATACATAAGCTTTGAAATTGAATTTGAATTTCTAGGACGTTCAGGTGCGGTGTCACACGCATACCCAATGTCCTTGAGTCTGGTGGGCTCATATTTCAAGCGGTATGGAATTTGCACATTTGACCAATGTTGTTATGAAGGAAAGGCTTATATATTTAAATTATGGTGACGTGGCCGACAACGAACCTTATAATGGATTAAGAAGAGAATCTGGTACCATACATTTCATTTGTTTTTAGGGAAAAGTTGTTGAAATAAGAGTGAAATAAGAGTAACAAAAATTAGTCACAAGATTTTCAAAACTTTCAATAGAATAATAATTGAAAATTTTCATGTCTCCCTTCAATCATATGTTCCCCGAGTAACAGATTTTAATTATTTTAGTCACAAGCATAGACCCCGTCAGATCAGGTTCTGACTAACACTCACTTCCAAACATTGTCATTTAGTGAAAAAACAGTTTGTCATCATGCAAAGGGTATTAAGCTGTCCACACTGGTTGCGTATAGAAATACAAACCAACATATAAAGCCTTGGGCTACTTCTCCTAACATGTTGACCTTTTAGGAAGGAACCTCAAGTCTTAATATGGTATCAGAACAAATTAAGCTCCAACGAGTAATTAGATCCTGGTAAGCCTCAACAACGAGCACACGGACTACAAGATTGGTCTGTTCCAACGAGCCACCATCTTGCGGGGACGTATTAAGCTGTCCCACACTGGTTGCGTATAGAAATACAAACCAACATATAAAGCATTGAGCTACTCCTCCTAACAGGTTGACCTTTTAGGATGGAACCCCAAATCTTAATATATTAAGTTGTCGCACACCGGTTGCATATAGAAATACAAACCAACATATAAAGCATTGGGTTACTCCTCCTAACAGGTTGACCTTTTAGGATGGAACCCCAAGTCTTAATATGATATGAGAGCAAATTAAGCTCCAACGAGTAATTAGATCCTGGTAAGCCTCAACAACGAGCACACAGAGGACAAGATTGGTTTGGTCGAACGAGCCACCATCTTGCGGGGGCGTATTAAACTATCCCACACCGGTTGCGTATAGAAATACAACCCAACATATAAAGCCTTGAGCTACTCCTCCTAACAGGTTGACCTTTTAGAATGGAACCTCAAGTCATAATTATGGATATATAAAAAAAATCTTGTATGGTAATATAGGTAATACTGAGGATATATAGTTCTTCAGTTCTTAAAATATGAAAAGGATATATAAAAAAAATACAGTGATCTCAATATCTTACCTCATGTGCTTGAAACAACCTCAATGTCATATTCGTAGTATTTTAGGATGCGTAGAGTATTGGTAGTAGCTTAGAACATCTCCAATGCTTGAGGTGAATTGTGGTTGATGTGGCAAAAATCTAGACATGGTCTATTTAGTATGTAGGCAAAACATTTATAAATTGAGAGGGTCTATTGACCTATGACTCCAATGCATGGAATGAAATGGTATATGTAAAAAGGACAAAGAATATAAATAAAAAGGTAAAAGAAAATAAGTGGTCAAGAATGCATAAGGCCTACAATTATTTTAATATTGAGAGATGGTGGCACCAAAGGTCTCTATTGAGACCTTGCATAAGACATTGTCCTTTTTCTTCTTTTGCCAACTCACCTAGACTAGACCCACATTTTTTTTTGCATTGGAGAGGAGATTT